AAGAATTAGATACTATCCATGCAGAAGGCTCAAGCTTCCTCACAGTACTAGGTGGGAATGTTAGATTTTTTTTGGTTTGTACTCAATTCAATTTCAAAGTTCCTAAAACGTGTTTCAGCTTTAGACTGTAACATTTCTTGTAATAACTGCTAGGTGGTTCTGGCGCCTTCCTCGAAAGTGCAAGGTCCCGAATTCGATTCCCAGTACCGAAAAAAAGAAAAAGAAATTGAACATGAAAAAGGGGGGGGGGCATGCATTTATACTGCAAAAGGTGTCCAGTGTATGAGTGACATTCTTTCATTGACAACTGACATAAATTCATTGAGTAAAATGTTTTAAGCAAAAAAATGAAAAAACCACTTTTTTAAAAGGGGGGGGGGATTTAAGTATTGTTGGCATTATGATTTCTTTAAATGCCCTTGGCTATTCTCAGAGGAGTTTTCTCCCCTTTTTCCTTTTCTTTGGCACAGGGATCCAACTCAGAACCTTGTGCTTGTGAGGCAGGCAGCAGCACCGAGCTAATCCCTGTCCCTCCCATTTCTCCTTTTCTCTTTATTTTTTCTCATTTGAGTCTTCACCTCCATTAAAATTATGCTTCCAACCTTCTATGGTTTGTAAGCTTATCAGAAATAAGAACACTGTTGAAGTACCACAAAAGTATAAATGAGTATTTTAATGTCATAATATTTCCTATTGCCTATGGGATCGATGCTAAAATGAATCAGGATGCAAGCTCTGCGAGACAGAAAAATGAAAGCATGTTTTCCAGGACACTAGGTTTCTTTGGATGTGTAACAAGTTGATTCAGAACACTGGAATGTGATTCTATTCTGTTCTTCTGTTTCATTTTTCTTCTTCCTCCCTCTTTACCAGCAACCCTCCCCCGCTCTTGTAAAGGGTAGTTAACTTGTCCCAGGAAGGATCCTTCGGTTTTACGAAACTTTTGCTTTCTGAAAGTCATGGCTCCATTCATATTTTTGTCTTACTCTTCCAACTGGGCTATATAATGTTCAGAGTTCCTGTATCTGGAAGCTGGAAGGGCCTGGACTTTATGAAATAGTGTCTTGGTTTCACTGTTTTTGTTGTTGTTGCTATTTCTTTAAACTAAAGCTATATGAAGCTTGTGATTAAAGAATAAATTTCTAAATTAAAAAAAAATCAGAAACTAACAACCTAAAGTTAAACTTACTCAAAAGAATAGTTTGCTTTAAAAACTGAATGGCGGGGCCGGGGATTTAGCTCAGTGGTTCCGCTGCCTGCCCTGCAAGCGGGAGGATCCGAGTTCGATCCCCAGTACCAAAAAAAACAAAAAAACAAACAAACTAAATGGAAATGATCCTGTGTTATAACTTTATATTCAGTTCCTAACAATTTCCAAAAGATTTTTTTCCCATGTAGTGATGGGGATCAAACATGGGGCCTCATGTATGATAGGTAAGCAGTCTACCACTAAGCTACATCCAAACAAAAGTTACTGTCATCATGCTCAAAAATTGTAATAAAATGTTTTGTGGAATGTTTATAAACCACTGATATCAGCTGGATAAAAAGAAACAAATGCAAAAAAATTTTTTTGGGGGGGTAACAGGGATCAAACTCTGGGCCTTGCTCTTTCGAGGCAGGTGTGGCACAACTGAGCTAAATCCCCGGCCCACAAATGCAAAAATTTAAAAAGCTGAACACAAATCACTAGCTGGGTGTGGTGGCACACAGTTATAACCCAGCACTCAGGGATGCTAAGGCAGAAAGACTGCCATGAATTCGAGGCGAGCCTAGGCTACATAATGAGTTCAAGGCCAGCCTGAACTACATAGTTAAGACTCTGTCTCCAAAAATCAATCAGTAAACAAATCAAAATTTACTAATGTGACAACCAAAATCATGCTCTTTCAATCTATTTTTCTTTTTCCAAGTAATGATGAAAACCAGGTTGTATTGAGATTTTTAGGATTCAGTGTGTAATATTAGACTAAGTCTATTAAAATAAATGCCAATAGGCAAAAATATGGAATGTTAACTAATCAGTGGATGATACGTCTATCCTCACAAATTTACCTTCAATAAATTAACTTTGGCCAATTCTCAAATCAATAGTTAATACGGCTGCTTAAAAATGAATTTGCAAGGACTCAGTAGGACCATCCCATGTAGAATAATCATGTGTAAATTACGCTATTGAATAACTTTTCTCTTGATCACCTTAGAGATGATCAACAATCCATGTTCATTTAAAATACTAAATGCAGGGGCCAGGGATTTAGCTCAGTGGTTTCACCACCTGCTGCACAGGCGCAAGGACCCAAGTTCGACCCCGGTACCAAAAAAAAAAAAAAAAATAATAATAATAATAATAAAATAAAATAAAATACTGAATGCTACTTGCAGAAAATTATAATCTAGGGGCCAGGGATTTAGCTCAGTGGTTCTGCCGCCTGCCTCGCAGGCACAAGGACCGAGGTTTGATCCCCAGTCAAAAAAAAAAAAAAAAATCTATCAAGATACAAGTAGAAGGGCCAGAGATTTAGCTCAGTGGTTCCACTGCCTGCCTCAAAAGCACAAGGTCCCGAGTTCGATCACCGGTACCAAAAAACAAAAACAAAAAAAATACAAGTAGAAAAAGATGCTGTACAGCCAGGTGGATTTTTTTCATATGTATTCACCCATGTGAATACCACCTGGATCAAAATTTAGACTTTCTTGCTTCCTTCCTTATTTATGTCCCCCCAACACCCAATACTGGGGATTTTGGGTTTTGGGGGTTTTTTTTGGTACCAGGGATCGAACTCAGGTTGTTGCGCTTGTGCAGCAGGTGGCAAAACCACTGAGCTAAATCCCCAGCCTGATTTTGAGTTTTTGAGGCAGGGCATCACTATGTAGTTCAGGCTGGCCTTGAACTTGCCGTGATCCACCTGCCCCAGTCTCCCAAGCTGGAATTACAGGTGTGTGCCACCACACCCAGCTAAAATGTACAGTATTTCAAACACCTCATTCTTGTCTTCTTTCACAACTCCTGCCTAACCCCCAGTACTGACCTAATACCATAAACTAGTTTTGGCACACTCTGCACTTCATGAAAATGAATCATAAATACTCTTGTGTCTGGCTCTTGTGATATTAACAAGTCGGTGAAAATCACCCATATCGTTTATGTCAATAATATGCTCCATTTTATCCTTATGTAGTATTCCAATTTATAATTTTACCACCATTTATTTCCAAAGGTATGTATTAAGCAGCTGAACCACATTCCTGTACAGCTATGTAGAGCTGTGTTTACAGGTGCACAGTGCTATCTAATTGGGAGTTCAAGTTGTGTTTGCTTGGTAACTAATGATACATTACACAGCTTAATGACCAATTAGATAACCTGTTTGTAAAGTGCTTGTTCTACGAGTCTAGGGCCAGGCTGGGGGGAGTGAGACAAAGACAAAGATTAATCAATTTATTATTTTCAAGCACACCTGTCCCAAATTACCTCATTCCCAACAGTATCTTAGGTTCTCCACTGAATTCCAGTTCTGAAGCTTAAACATTGACATTTAAACATGGATATGCAATTAATATAATTATATCTTAGTAGAGGAAAGAATGGAAAAATATTGTTCCTTGAACATCCAGTCTCACCTATTTTATCTGCTGTATCTTTGCTATCTTTTCATATTTCAATTATACACAGATGAAGTACCACTACTGTCTCCCTAAATATATACCCGAGTCTTGCAACTAGTTACAGGGAGACAATAAGAAGTAATAGTATTGCTGGCTTAACTCTGAACAAAAAGGGAAGTCAGTCAGAAGTCTGAATCTGGAAGCTTTGTTTGAGGTAGGGGTGGGGGTGTCATTCTACTGTTGAAATTAGCCCGATGGTTCTGCTGCCTGCCTTGAAAGCGCAAGGTCCTGAGTTTGAGATTCCCCAGTACCAAAAAAAGAAATTAGCCCAAGTAGAGCAAAGTCAGGAGCAGGGAGGAAGTGGATTACTGCCACCACCCAGCCAAGACTGTGCACTCTGGATCAGGGTATTAGCAGTATGGCAGATTAACAAATGGTAAACTTGGAACACTCAGCTGAACTGAGTCAGCGTGGTTCAGGGCATGGAAGACCCACCAGAGAATTGTTGCCAATGGCATAAAAGAGAACTGGAGGGGAAGGCTGGTATAATACATCCTTGACGTTGCTGAGGCCAGAATGGCATCATGATCCTTGTTTTTCCTTTCTCCCACTCTGATTTTTTTTAAACCTGATTGAGTTTTTTGATCTATAAAACCATGTGCTAATAAAACCTACCTTCTTATCTACACCACCACCATCAAACTTATCGTCAACTATGCCACCTCCTACTTTAAGTGAATTACACAAAACATCTCTTTTTAGTCCCTTCCATCTTTGAGTATTAACTTCATTTTATAAAAGACAAAAAAAACACAGACTAGCTAATTTGCACATGAGCAGCCAGCTTAACAAATAGAAGAGCCAGGATTGGAACCAGGGCTATGTAGTAGAAACTCTTAAAGCATCACACTTCTTCTAAGATCAAATCAGACAAATGAAGTGAAAGAAGTGCTGTGTGAATGAAGATACATATCTACAAAAATACTCCTTGGCATCTGAAACTTTAGCTGTGCTCAATTAAGTTAAACAATCTCTAACAACTTTGTTGCTTACATCCATCTAAGTAGAATAAGATTACTTCAATACTTACTTTTTATTTTACACTTACAAATATCTTCCTGAGATACTTATAATTTACAAAAAACAAAAACCAGATAAAACCCAAGACTTTTTTAAAATCTAAAAACAGCATCTGAGATTACTTAGTACATGTCTAAGTACAGATTGTGATCTCAATTTTAACACGTTTTCAATAATGCACTTACAAGTCTTTATAAACTTGTTGACCAAAGTATAATATATTTTTTTTGTGTGGAAATTATACATTTAACATTCTTATAATCTTGGTATTCCTATAAGCAAAGAGAGAAAGTGATTTCAAAATCTCTTACCATTGATCTTTCAGGATATCCAAACAAATAGCCCCTGTGACGGAACTAATATTAGGATGCCATATTTTAGTGATAAACCGGACCTAGAATATAAAGCACACTTGAGTTTTTAAGTAACAAAAGTAAAACATAAAGTTTAAATAAAACTACAAGAAAATGAAATCATCAGATGCTCAAGGTGAAGAGTGTAGGAAGCAAACCATTCACTAAGCCATATGTTGTTAATGATATAAATCCTTTTTAAGCCCTTTAATACATGTTCTACCTTCAAAATACACCAACCAATTACATATTTTCAACTTACCTAGCACAATGTCACATGCTATGAGAAATTTAAAAAAGACTGAAGTCCATTTGGGTAAAGAGTACATTAAATCAAACCACACAGTGGAACCTTTCTTCGTGTGAATTAGCCTACAGAATAGGTTCCAAGGAAAAAAAGTAAGCAAAATTAAGCAGGGAAAGACAAGAAACAAGTAGCTGCAATATTCCTAAATTTTTTGCACAATTTTTTCTCAAATTTGTTTCTTGGATACCCCAATAAATATTTGAAGACCTATAATTATGTGTCAGGCACCAAAAAAAACACTGAAGTTTGAATTTAAGAAACTTAGCCCAAATAAAACTGCTAGTTAGCAATATAGAAGAAAACGCAAACTTACACAAACTGATTACAGACTCTAAGTCTCTAATCACCTCATTTGTCTAGAGTAGAAGAAAACAAGTGAAACAGCTTACCCTATGAGACCTTTATGAAACCTAGTTCACATGTTCTATTCATGAGCTTTTAGAGGACTATCATTGTTGGTATTATTATTATTTCTGATACATATAGTACTCTGCTACCTCAGTTTATGAACTTAATTCTTTCCATGATTCTGGTCACAAATCAAATTGAACAAGAACCAAATCAAATTCATTGGTTATGTTCAATGTTGGCTTTATGGGGAAACTGGATTCAATTCTTGTCCAACTTGGTTTGTGACCAGAATTGTGACAAGAATTAAGTTGTAAACTGAGGTGCTACTGTACAGACCACTTGAGCTCAGTCTCTTAATATTTAATGGACTAGTTATCATGTGCTACATAATGTTCTACTTTACAAAAATTAACTCTTCACTCTATATTCCAAATATAACCTGTTTATGCTAAGAAGCTAAATAGCATCTATTTCCTCTTGTTGATTTGTGACTTGTGTGTGTGTTATGAGCAGGCAGTGCTGGGAAATGAATTCAGGGCACTCTATCACAGAGCTGCAGTTCCAGCCTTTTTTCCTTTATTATTTTGAGATAGGGGGTTACTAAATTGACCAGGTGAGGCTTGAATTTGAGCTCCTCCTGCCTTGGTCTCTCAAGTAGCTGGGATTATAGGTGCGTACTACGATGCTCAGCTCCTGTGACTTCTTGACTTGTCTATACTATCTCTACGTCCTCGTCACCTCCTACTATTACTCAGTAACTCACTCAACATGAAAAAGCACATTGAGTTACCAATGACTTCAAAACACCTAAAACTAATGAACACTTTTCACTTCTTCATTCACGCCATGTTTGATCATTTCTCATTCTTAAAATAAAAAAATACTATCAATGATACCCACTTCTCTCCAACCACAAAGCCATCTCAAGGATCATGATTCTACACCTGTGTTACTACAGTCTCCTATTATCTTCCATTCTGTTCCCTCCAATCTGTTCTCCACACTAAAACCAGACTGACTTTTAAAACAAATGTGATTTGTGCCACTAATTCTGCTTAAGGCCTTTTAATAACCTCTCAATTTCTTTTATGTAAACCAACCCCATTCTCTTTTTTGCAGTACCAGGGATTGAACCCATAGCTTCACACATGCTATGCATGTGCTCTGTCACACCACCAACCCTCCTTTTGTTTTATATAATTTTTGAGATGGGATTGTGTAAATTGCCCAAGGTATCATCAAACTTTCAATCCTCGTGCCACACCTTCTGAATGGCTAGGATTACAGTTATGCATCACTGTGCCTGGTTTGGCCTATATTCAGAGGCAGGCTTTAACCTATGCCTTAAATGTAATTTACACCTCCACCCCATATTTCACTGTCTTCCACCAAAAGTCATATTCAAATTTATTTTTTGCCCCTGGGCCTTCATGGATGTTTATTTTCTCAATAACATACTGTTACTCTCTCTGCCCTGGGCTAACTCCTACTTAATCTACAAGTTTCAGCTTTTCTATCACTTCTTTCTAACCTATTGCCATAGCACCCTACACTTTCCTCTATCGTAATACTGACCACACTTCTGTAACCTCTGCCTCACCAGGGGTGATGAAGCATGCCTGTAATCCCAGCACTCAGGAGGCTGTGAGGCAGGAGGACTGTCTGAGAGCATGAGGCAAACCTGAACTACAGGTCCAGGGATTTAGCTCAGTGGCACCATGCCTACCTTGCAAGCACAAGGTCATGAGTTTGATCGCTAGTCCGGGGGATGGGGGGAGTAATTTGCATTTCTCTAGTAACATAGGACCTACATCTTTATGAGCTGGGGATTTAGCTCAGTGGGGCTGCGCTTGCCTCTCAAGCACAAGGTCCTGAATTCGATCCCTAATACCACCTGCCCCCCCACCCCACCAAAAAAACCCAAAAACCTGAACTACATAGTGAGACCCTATCACAAAAAAGTAAACCCCTCAAACCAACAAAATTTTAAAAATGTGTGTGTGTGTGTGTGTGAGAGAGAGAGAGAGAGAGAGAGAGAGAGAGAGAGAGAGAGAGAGAGAGAGAGAATGAGAATGGAGATTTCTGACTCATTTGTGTGGATTTCCAGAAAAGGCACTCCATCTGTCATGCTTAACAGAGCATCCCCAGAATCTTGGCAGTGCCTTACACTGGACTATGTACTTACTACTGTGGCAAACCTGTTAATACAGAGATAATGTATCTTTCAAAATATATCTTTCAAGATAATATATCTTTCAGTCCAGTTCAATAAGATATATAATAATATAGAAGTCAGGGGCAGGGGATTTAGCTCAGTGGTTCTGCCGCCTGCCTCCCAAGTACAAGGACCCGAGTTCGATCCCTGATACCAAAAAAAAAAATAATAAAATAGAAGTCAGGTACAACAAACATTTCTTTCTTTTTTTTTTTTTTACTGGGGATCGAGGGGATCAAAATCGAGACCTTGCGCTTGTGAGGCAGGTGGCGGAACCACTGAGCTAAATCCCCAGACTAACAAACATTTCTTTATAACAGATTTACTCACAAAATTTACATCTTAACATTTACCATTCACTGAATTCAATTCATAAAGATAAAAAATAACCACTGCTGTTAACTTCAAAAACTCAAGAATATCACAGCATTCTATAACCTTAAAACAAGAGTGGAACAGTATTTTCAACAATACTGGAAAACAGAATTTTAAATTACTGCTGAAGACGGCAGAAAGTTTATAGCTCAGCCAAGTGATCTGAAGATTTGTGAACTGTTAACTTGTCCCCATTACCCTGCCTTTGGTCCTGGGGATCAAACCCAGGGCCTAAGAGATGCCAGGCAAATACTCTACCAAGAGCTATACCCCTCAACCCTGTACTGTATCGTACTTTTATTTATTTATTTTGGTACCAGGGATAGAACTCAGGACCCGCTTGCAAGGCAGGAGGCAGCACCACTGAGCTAAATCCCCGGCCCAGTATTATGCTTTTATTTTTTTTTTGGTACTGGGATCGAACTTGGGACCTTGCACTTGTGAGACAGGCAGTGGAAGCACTGAGCTAAATCCCCAGCCCCCAGTATCATACTTTTTAAGAAGAGTCTTCCATGTATGATTCTCCATACAAACATTTGAAGAACCAAAGAAGTACCAAGATGGAGATTATTAAGCTAATATCTACACTGTACTATCATCTACAGTTAAAAATAAATTAATTTGCAGATGATCCAATAAAGAAATTAATGCTGCCCGGGGCTTTAGCTCAGTGGTTCCACCCCCTGCCTTGCAAGTGCAAGGACCTAAGTTTGATCCCAGGTACCAAAAAAAAAAAAAAGAAAGAAAGAAATTAATGCTCAAGAGCTGAGAATGTAGCTCAGTCATAAAGTGCTTGTCTGCAATGTGTATGGCCCTGAATTTAACCCCCGTGGAGGGAGGAAGGAAGGAAAAGAGGGAAGAAGGGTCCTATAAGGGGACACTCCATTATCAATCAGAAGTAACATAAGTAACTATCTTATGAACAGTTTTTGTGTGATCCTAACTCTCTTTATCCTCTCTTTCTCCTTTGTTCTTTATTACAATCAACTATTTGCTTCTGTAGGCTTTTAACTCCTCTGTCTGGTTTTCTCCAACCTTAACATTACCATTAGTACTCAAATTCATCCCAGAACACTGTCCTATTATTATATACCCAACTCATTTCCACTGTATTCACCACTTCCTCCAACAGTCCTACCATTCTTGACCCATACTGACAAAAAAATGTAGAAGAAAAAACTTGAAAGAAATCAAGCATAAGAGCAAGTAACAATATGACACTTATCATGACCTATTAGAATCATATTTGGCTCAGATTACAAAACAGATAAAGGATGGTTTTTATTACTAGAACACTTATTGATAATAATTCAAATACTACTGAAGATGCTAAATGTGGCCAGACTGGAATAAAAACAATTCCTAATTAACTATACTGGCAAATCATCATCAGTATTCTAACTTCACATACATGTTAATTCAAGAAATATTAGGGCCAGGGATTTAGCTCAGTGGTTCTGCTGCCTGCCTTGAAAGCGCAAGGATCTGAGTTCGATCCCCGGTACCGAAAAAAAAAAAAAAAGAAACATTGCAGTTCTTACTTCACAGTAGATGTGACTTAACATTTCTATAAGGAACTTCTAGTCACAAGACTGAAACTCAGCATGGCCTGGCAGTGCAGGCCTATAATCCCAGCACTCTGGGAGGCTGACGCAAGAGGATCTCAAGTTCAAGCCCAGTTTGGGCTACTTAGGAATGTGGTGAGACCCTGTCTCAAATAAAAAGCAGACTGGGGGTATAGCTCAGTGTAAGGGCCCTGGGTTCAATCCTGAGTACCTCCTCACCCCAAAAAG